TTCAAGAATGAGAATGAATGATCTCCTTATTCAGTGGGTTAATATTAAGTAGTATAGGCTACACAATTAATATAACTACTACAAAGCATCAGTGAACAGACTTCAAATGATTACGAAAATATAATATCACATGTTTGGAATCATCAAATAAGTCAATAGGTAATGTCTTAATGGGGTGACTGAATCAAGGCATGACAATGTTTAAACTTCTGAATTTTAAGGACCTTTTTGGATTTTGGAAGCATGGTATTCATTTACTAATGGTGTACTAAAATTAGATTCTTTCGAAATAAAGATAAGCATCAGTATACTATAGCATGATAATATCAAAAGTTCAATCAAAAGATTGGCTCTCAGAATATTTGCTTACGAATGCTCTAAAAATTTTTCGAAACAAGATCAGTCATTCTGCATTGCAAGAGCATTCCATTAATTACCAATGGAAGACATCTTATTTTATTATCATAAAAGATATCTATTATCTGTAATATTTAGTAGGCATTAAAACTATCACCTACTTTTCTTGCTGATAGGTGAATCCACTTTTATTCCTAAATTGGCAATAGAAGTTTATATGCCAGTTTTTCCTCCTCTAAAGAGTCTCCTCTGAGTCCTTGAGGTTACCCTTCCAGTTCAGATTCTAATACTATACTCTTTATAGATCACTCAACTGTCCAGTGAAGCCTAGATGGATTAGGTCAGTGGTTTTAAAATTATGCCTGGAGGCACTGTGGAGAGTTTTGGAGGTGCCCCGTGGCCCTAGTGGCCAAACAGCTAGTGGCCAAACAGACATCAATTTCTAAATCTTGCTGTTACATATTCATATTTATGTCATATATAGAATGTCCCACAACATGAATTTGAAAAAATAATTTTGTTCTTTAAAAATGTTTTTTAAAACACATTCAAAGGGATTTGGGGACTTAAGCAAGTAGTCCTCATGTCCCACATAAAGTCTTCAAAACCAGGTCACAGAACACTAAACAAAACACTGTATCTCAGCCCTATAATGACAATAGCATCCCTCAGTCTCACTTTGAGTTCAGAGGCATAAGTCAAACAGATCAATGTTTTAACTGGATCCTATCACAATGGTGAATATCGCAAACATTTCAAGTCTCTTTTTGCAGAAATCGATTATTTACAACATATGAAAACAAATGATTAGTAAATACTTCTGAAACAGCAACCTTTAACAATGCATATGACTTTCCCCCCTCACCTTTTATGCTAAAGGAAATAACAGAGAAATTTAACATTATACTTGCAAATGTCTATACATTTTTATTTTTTCCTTTCTAAATAAATTAGAATCAAATAGGAGCCTTGATTCAGAGTTTGAATAGAGTGACAGACTCGCTAATTAAACTGCTCTCATGAATGGCCTTACACCAAAGACACCGCATAAGAAACTTAAACACTGTCAGTTAAAACTTGTGATGACTAAGAAGAACTTTAGGACACAAAGAAATAGAAACGATGTTGATGAGCACATTGACTCTTGAAAGGAGAATGATGAGAGCTGGTGTTACTGTTCTCTCTAAACTTGTTTGTGTTCTTTTAATATAAAAGAAACTTCAAAGTTTGTCTTCTTTCTCAATATGAAAAAAAATAAGCAGAGGTATTAGATGAAAAAATATAAAAATGCTGGTATGGTAAAAATAAAGTTTTTAAATGTTCCACTGTAGAAAATAAAAAAATATATATTGTTTGTTTAAATTCTGAGGCCTTTCCTTTAAACATATGATCATTTAAATATAGATTTAGTCCACCAGGGGCATCAATGGTCCCCAAATTATGACTTAGTAACATTATCAAAGAGTTGAATTTTAACTGAAGGGCAAATTCTTAAAATAGGAAAATTGTTCACAAATATTTCAGTGAATGAATAATGGTAAATTTGACTCATATCTTGGTTTATGTCCAGATTTACTGCTTACTAAATATTATTTTCTTTTCATTGAATGAGAATAGAATTGTGGAGCTGTGCCATCTCTGCTGTCAAAACACATATGTGGATATACACACATATATGCACAATCATGCATTTTGATGCATGAATCTATAGATATGTATATTATAAACTTTTGGGGAAAGCACTGCATCTAAGACCTAATTGTTTTTTGTGTAAGGAAAAATAACAGGAGAATAGGAAATATCCCTCCTCAAAACATTTGCAATGTTCATACCACTTAATTATAATAGCACATCAGAATGTGCAAACATTATACTTATTGCAAAGTATCTTATAGATTTCGACGTCATTATAAAATGTTCTCAATTCTATTTTGGTAACCTAAAGTGTAGGTATATAATACCAAATTTCCAATTAAAGAGTTTAATATAAAAATATCAGCACAAAACTGTTTTTTCAATCTGTTTATTATGTGAGCAACCCAAACTTCAGTTTAAGTGCTGCTGTAATTTTATTACTAGATTCCATAACCCTACAATTGATAAATTTTATACCATTTTAGGTATTTAATGAGATACTTAGAAATACTAAGAAAAAAATCAGTATTCAAAGGGTTAATTTTGTTTATAATAACAATAAATTATTTTATCATCTTCTTCAGTTCAAAATCCAGCTTTGAACCCGAGGAAGGCTTTCAAATCATGTTAATTAAATGGTGGTCCTTTAACCAGTAGCAGTCTGATTACCAATTACTCGAAGGATCTCTTTGTGAATGCCTCCTTCCTGTGTGTTAATATTTGCATCTCCCACTTGGCCATCTTCATAGCTAAAGCACAAAACGGAAACAGAAAATATTCAAAAAGTTGAAACGTTCAAAAAAATTCAGAAAGCATTTACAACAGCTTAGAAATGGTATTTGATACCTAAAATATAACCCAAAGTAATCAACAGCAAAAGACAGTTATTTTGCAGTTGCATTTAATAATGAGTTTGCATTACCAAATACCTGATTATTCTTCACCATGCCCTGATTTGCCCCATCCTTCCTTTTTAATTTTAACCTTTTTTAGCCCCACATAAAGCATTGCCTGAGTTGCAGGAAGCAACCTTGTGTCTTTGGCTTTGCAAACATTTCCCAGAGCAGCTGTAATATGAAGCCCACTATGAAAAAACATACCAACTTCGACTTTATGTTTCTTAGGTTTTGGTCTTCACTCTACTCCTAATTCAGTCGTTTATTTATTTTCTGGTCAGTGACACTCTAAGAAATTACTTCAGTTTTTGCCACTACTCCTCTGTCATGCCTGCCTTATAATTATTATTCTGTTATAATTAGTGCTACATTTTTTTTTTCCTTATCATTGGCTGCTGTATTTGTCCAACTATAACATATTCTTATCTATGCTGGTACTTCGCATAAGAATGCAAGTGTGCTAAGTTTAGCTAAGCAATAGAAGTGAAAATATCACATTAAAGGACAGCAATTATTAAGGCCTTTAGAAAGAAATAATTACATTTTACACTATAATTCATTTCCTCAAATAAACTTACTTGGGCAATAAAAATTTCCTAAGAATGAATTTTTAAACTTCCATGATAATATTCAGGGTAGAATAGGTGATGAATTAATTTTACTTCATAAAAATGACTTCAAGACAGAAGCTTTAGAGAAATGATAATTACTTCAAAATAGATAACCAGGGATGTAAGCAGAGTCTCAAAGATTAATGTGTGCCAGCTTTTTCCTCACCACACATAAGTTCTCCTGAAATAGCACAATACAGGAAAATGAAACAGATGACATAAGCAGGTCCTTACATAATCCACTGTTTAACCACCAAGTGATAATTGCATTTGTATCAAGTTTAAAGTCCTAAGAACTGACCCAAAGTTACCTGTTGACTTTGTTAATTCTTACCATACAAGTGTTCACGCAAACGTACACCCACCCCACCCACACGTATATGTGACACTCAATGGTGAAACATTACTGTAGGGGAAAAAATGGGATATGCAGTACATAGTCCAGTTATTTTCTCAGGAGATCAAATAGTAAGTGCCCTGTAAAGAACTAGAGAATGTGTCAAGTGAAATGTTTCAGAATTGTCCAAATTGAATAAGGTGCTTTGTGGCAAACTATGTAAAGATATACTTTATTGAGCAAGTGAAATATGTTGTTTTGGTTTTTGTATAAATTCTGGCTACCTACTGAACTAAGCCACCCATAATTCTGAGCCGAGGCTAGGGAGGCAACTTGGCTTGAAAGCCTGGCCTAAGGGAGATGATGCCATTTTACCAAGCCAACCCAGCTAGCTCCTTTAGGATTTAGATTATGGAAAGTGAAAGAGAATGACAGAAAGAAAACAGAACAGACACAAAGAAAACCATTGTCCTTTGAGAGAAGTGGGAAGAGTGAAAGGTCTTAAAACTATTTTGGTTCTTGATAGCTTCCTAATTTCAAATAATAGTCCACATGTATCTGTACTATACGTTTCCTAATATGCCTTCACGTTTGCTCTATCTCTATGGCATTTTTGGTACAGTGAACACACTTATGTCATCTGTATTTTAGACACAATGTTGAATAAGATATGCTTGGCTCAATGATGCCCAGCCTACATACTACCATCTCCATTCCATTCAATTTAAACTTGACCTTTGATTAAGATTTATCTATAATACATTATAACTTCTCATTTTTCCCTCAATCCACTGCAATCGTTCTTCCGACCCTACTATTTGTCTGACAACTACTGACAATGGTTGCCCATGGCCTTCTAGTTGATGAATTCAGGAGATTTTATCCACGACATCTGCAACATGTGGTACAGCTGACTGCTCTTTTTCTTGAAGCTATATTATCTCTTCACTCCCTACTTACTCTTTTAGTAATTCTCAATCTCTCTCATTGCATCCTCTTCCTTAGCCTTCCATTTCAATGCTGATTTCATCCATAATTCACGTCTCAGTGTTTTCTCATGATATGCAAACTCTCAATTATTTCAGTCTCTTATTGCTTAACTATCACCCACATGCTGATTCCCAAACTACATCTCCGATCCTTACATCTTTCCTTAACTATAATTTTCTCACAGAAATCACAAGGCTGAACTTAATTTTTTACCCCAAGTCTGCCCTTTTTTAGTCTATCAATAGCTCAATTTGAAGCATCATCATCTGCCCATTCTCCAAGAAGAAAACTTCAGTCATCCTTGGCTCTTCCATGGGACTAACCCCAATAAATCACTGCATTATCCTGCTTCCACTTCTTAATTATTCCCAGTTGCATCTTCTCTTCATCCAATGCCGTTACCTTTCTTTAGTCCTTCATTATCATCCATTCAAGTGATTTCAAGTTGCAAATTGTGTGCTATTAGCGGGTTTTGAAATTAATTTAGGTTGTCCAGGCTAGTATTTTTCAATGAAATTAGAATAGAATGAGACAGAGAAATACTGACTGCACCACACAGAGTAAACACTGTTTTTTCCAAGTCACAACATCAAACACATTTCTTCTTACAATGAGAAACACTGGCCTAGACTGTCATAATAACATAACTTATTGATCTCTCTGTCTCCGCATTTATCACCATCATCCCTCCTAGAAGACTCTTCTCTGCCTGGCTAGAGCGATACAAATGGCCTCCATTTCACTTGCAAAACAAAATCCAATGCCACCGGCATGGTGTATCAAGGTACTTCATAATCCAACCCTAAACTTCCTCTCCAGTCATGCTCATCACTCCTTCCCACCACTCTATTTCCCAGCCAAATAAAAGAGTGTTATCCCCAAATAGTACATGTTCATCGACACTTAAAAAGCATTTAAAATTAATGGAGAAGAGATAAGACTACCAGTCTTTAAACTATAACAATTTAAGATAGAAAGAGCATAGGGGGAGGAAAGCAGAGAGCAAAAGTGAGAGATTGAGATTAAAAGTTATTAATCAAAATGCCTGTTTTTCCATTGACTATGAAAACTGCAAGGAAGCTTCATAGGTTGAAGGAAGAAATTGGCTAAAGGCATTTAGGTTTCTTAAACTATAAAGCATTTATAACGATAAACGAGCAAACCACCATTTGATTTGGTCAACTGGTAGGGCTTAAATATGTGAATTACTAGTGGCATTAGGGCATTGATTACAATATAGCATACAGAATACTGTGCAGCTATTTATTAGTACTGCAGGCAAACAGTATATTGCGAAGTTCATGTAAGTCCAAAAGCAACAAAATTTTAAAAAGAAATAGAATAAGGATATCAATAGGGAAATGACACACTTCATAGGGGTTTTATGTAGAAAGAAAAATAAAACTAAAAGGATACAAAAATCACATATGTTCCCAGGAGTATAAAAAGATTACTAAAATTTTAATTAAAAAAAAAAAAGTCAATTTGCTTAAAAAGCTATTAGAGAGAAAATAAGACAATAAATGGGATTTAACTGTCTGAAACTCTTTTGAGTACGTGAAGAAATTTCACGGATAAAAACTTTTGAATGTTTTGACAACCTTTATCCTCAAACTGATATAGCAGCTTTGTGACAATTTTAAGATAGGCACACGTAAATTAGTTTTCTGTCTCCTTAAATCTGGAACCTAGACACGCTAGGCCTGTTTTCCATTAGCAACAGAAAGGAGAAATTCACTGTGAACTGAATGATAATCTAGCACTTGTCCAAAGTTCCTGTAAGAATTCTGATGCTATTTCATAGCCCACATATAATCTCTTCACTAAGTTAGAACATTAGGTCTTTTGTCATTGCTTTCATTCAATATATATTGCGTGTTTTTTGCATAAGACATGAGATTCCCAAACACAGACTTTGCATATTACTAGGTGAGATGATAGAATTATGCAAATAACTGCAGGACAAGGCAGTCTGACAGGTACAAAGAAAGGGTGAGCAAAATTGAGAGTAATGACAGATAACATCTGACTGGGAGGTCAGGAAAGGCCTCATGGAAAAGGCCAGGTGGTTAAGAATTGAAAAAATGGCTGAAAGACAAGCTGATTAGGAGGCTAATCACTTGAACTGACTGATGAGTAAAGGGAAAAACAATTCCAAGCTTGGATAATAATTTTATTCAATCAGTGGTTTGTATGAGTACTTGAAGGAAAATGGACTTTCTGTTGTAGAAGGCCATGTTTGTTTTTATTTGTTAAAAATGATCAGACTGAATGGATTGAAGACCTGAATATAAGACCTGAAACAATAAATTGTATAGAAGAAAACATAGGAACTAAACTCAGGGACCTTGGACTTAAAGAGGATTTTACGAATTTGACCTCAAAGGCAAGAGAAATAAAAGCAAAAATAAATGAATGGGACCACATCAAACTAAAAAGCTTTTGCACAGCAAAAGAAACTGTCAACAAGATAAAGAGACAACTATCCGAATGGGAAAGTATATTGCAAGCAACACCTCCGATAAGGGCCTAATATACAAAATATACAAAGAACTCATACAACTCAATAACAACAACAAAAACTGATCCAATCAAAATATGGGCAGAGGACCTGAACAGACACTTCTTCCAAGAAGATATACAAATGGCCAACAAACATGAAAAGATGCTCAACATCGCTAGCTATTAGGGGAATGCCAACCAACAATGAGATACCACCTCACACCTGTTTCAATAGCTGTTATCAACAGAACAAGTAATAAGTGTTGGAGAGGATGCGGAGAAAAAGGACCCTCATACACTACTGGTGGGACTGCAAATTGGTACAGCTACTATGGAAAACAGTATGGAGGTTCCTCAAAAAACTAAGAATCGATCTACCATGTGATCCAGCAATCCCTCTACTGGGTATTTACCCTAAAGACTTGAAAACTCATATCTGAAAAGATATTTGCACACCGATGTTCATAGCAGCATTGTTTACAGTGGTGAGAACATGGAAGCGACCGAAGTGTTCCACAACAGATGATTGGATAAAGAAGCTGTGGTACACATATACAATGGAATATTACTCAGCCACAAGAAGAGAGGAAATACTGCCATTTGCAACAACATGGATGGACCTCAAGATAATCACGCTAAGCAAAATAAGCCAGACAGAAAAAGCTGAAAATCACATGATATCACTTATAGGTGGGATATAAACCTAAAAGCAACAAACAAACAAGACAAACAAACAGAGAGTCATGGACATAGACAATAGACTAGTGGTTACCAGAGGATAGAGGGGAGGGAGGAGGAGGTAAAAGGGGTCAAATATGTGGTGACAGGAAGAAATCTAACTATGGGAAGTGAACACACAATGCAATATATATATACATGCCTTCCTGTTAAATTGTACACTGAAACTTACTGAATTTCATTAACCAATGTCACCATAAAAAATTAATAAATAAAATTAAACAAACAAACAAAATGATAGGCCCATATGAGCAAGAAATGCAACACTCTGCTTCTGGAAAATTAATGTGTTAATAGTATGATCTTAAAATTTCATATGCATAGAAATATAGACTATACTCTAAAAGATGAACCATAGTTAACTCTAAGTGGGGATAATATAAGTTATTTTCTCCTTTTCTGCTTACCTTTGATTTCAGTTTCTGTACTTTAAACAGGTATCATTAGTATATTAATGGTGATGTTTAATAAATCTAGCATTGCACAAAATAGATTAGGAACAAAGAAGAAATCAGAAGCATGGGGAATAACTAGTATTTTTTTGGTGTACTCCAAGGGAGAGAATTATATATCCATGGAAACAAAAGTACTGATAGGAGAAAACTAAAATGATAAACTTGGGAACTGATGACTACAGCTCAGGTTCCAAATCTCGTTGATGTGAAAAATTACTGCATAGACTGCAGAAGTTGAGACATTGGTTAGGGGATTTATTAATAATGGGTTCTACTTTGTGCATATCGATATTAAGATATTAGCAAACTTTTCGAGGGGAAATACCCAGCAAGCAGTTATAATGTGGGCATTTCATTCATTCCTAATTACCTGCCAAGCACTATGCTAGGTATACAAAAAAATACAAGGGAGCCATATAGTCTCCAACCTCAAGATGTACAAAGAGCAATGAAGAAAACAATACACAAAAACAAAATAATAATAATCCAATGATAAAAACATGCCCAGAGCATTATATAGTAACACAAAGAATTAGCACCAAGGAGCCAAAGGATGTTTCTGCGAGGAGGGAAGGCATGCACTAAGATTTCAAAGAGGTGTGGGAGATAGATAACCAAGTATTAGGGGAGAGAGTGGAAGAGAGTCCAGGCTTAGGGAGAAAGAAAAGAGCAAAATTGTGGTAACAGCATACAGTTCAGGCTATAAAGCATAACATCTTGAGATGGGAAATGGTGGGTGGTGAAAAATGATGAGCCATGAAGCTGGGGACTGGATTTCCTTGACCTCCCAACACAGTGGTATTGAAGAAATAACAAAGGGCTGAAGAGTTCATTGGTTCCCTTTGTAAAGGAGACCGGACTTCACCTTGTAAGGATTGAGTAGCCAATAAACAGTTTTATGCTGTGGCAGCTAAAATCTTGGAAAAAGATCTGAGCTAGAGACAGAGAAATTGGATTTATTATATACTGGGAATAAAGCAAAGTTCCCCGATCGTATCAGCTTGATGTCACACAGCTCCACTGAGCCATGACTGATAGTCTGTCATCTAACTTTATAAAGAAGTTGTCTCTTCGCCGTGTTCCCGATTAGACACTGCTTATTTTGCAAAATAATGATGAAAGATATCTTTTATTTCACTTAATGGCCATTGTACAGTCCTTATTTTATAAAGTTTTCTTGTATCTGTCTCTTTAAATATATTTCAAACTCTGATCTAAAATAAAAGCCATATATAATCCAAGATATTTTTATTTTTGCTTTTGTCTTTACCCATGCATTAAAAATTTACCGACAAGCGACTGTGCATCAGGTTCCATGCAAAATGTCACAGGGAATGCAGGGTTAGTGAAAAGTAGTACTGTTTAACCTTTTGGAAAAAACGTGATATTAAAAAATAGGATAGTAAATGACTATTTTATTATCACCTTCACTCTAGAAATTTGATTACCATGGAAGTTACTTTAATTTTTAATATTTTCATTTATATAACTGATAAAAACGAGAGGCAGATTAGTTTATATACTAGTCATCAGGCCAAGCTTCTAACATAAGAGATCACGTAATGTTAAAAAAAAAAAAAAAAAAAAAAGGAATAAGAATGGAAATTGACTTTCTGTCTGAAAATGGTATATTTGTGATAACTCACTTCTTTCTCATCTATTTATTCTGTACTGAGATGCTCCTACTCACTAGGGAGACCTAGCACCAGAATTCTGTGATTACATCTTTTATAAAGAAAGAAACTGATGGTCGAAATTAGAATGTACATTAATTAGTAAGTGGATTCTCTTTTTGATGTGTTTTGAATCTTATCAATTTTCCTTTAATTAGTCTCTTCTCTCCAAGGAATGCAGAAATCTCATTTGTGTTTACGAAAAAATGAAAATCATGATCTTAATAGAATTCTTTCCTTTGTATTATTTGGGAAGTAGCTGAATATACTAGAAGTGTTTTCATCTCTTTTCTTCAGATGGTCTTTCTTTAATTTTTTCTTCTTATGAAATAAAGAAATCTTTCTCTCCAGTAAACATAATATATGCACATACATATCCCTACAGATTTATTTTACATATAATTTATGAACTTAAATATCTAAAGTTGTTTATTAAGCTCAATAAATTTAAATTTTAGCAAGATGCTAAAAGTAGATTAACTGGTTAATGTCATGCTAAGGAAAGGACTTTAGAGTTAACTTTTCTGTAAAAACCCTAAGGTCACTCCATGAAATAACTCTGTGAATAGATGTGTCTTTTGGAAGGCCGATCTTCTAACGGTAGATAGTAGTCAAGATGATCAAGAAGAAGAGGGAGAAAAATATTTAATGAGTGCCCTTCAATGGAGACCTGTATTGTGCTCAGTCCTCATAATAACCTTAAAAAGGTAGGGTGCAGATAGCTTCCCTGGGGGCCTCCAGAGCCACATGGCACCCTTCTCTCTCTTGCATTCTGTCCCGGGAGACTGACCTGTATGAACTTGGTTAATATGCTCCCTTGGCCTCTAGTTTCTGGTAGGGTTTGATCAACGCAGAGTCCCAGCAAGACACCGGCAGGAGGGCGAGGTCAAGGTTCCCTAGGTTCTAGCCCCACAAGGGCACCCTGGGCTGCCTTTGTCCCTCAACCGAAGGCTATGACTTCTTTCAAAGCGGTTGAACTAGTAAAGTAAGGGATCTCCTACCAGGTTCTGATAAATGTTTTCTGTCCTTGATCCTTTGGACCTAGGGATGTATAACAGCTCTGTTGCCACTGTCAACCCACTAGATCTGTGGTTCCCTTAAATCACACCGTTGTAACTAATCTACTCATGGATGATAGAAATTATCATATTTTTCATGGGCCATTGGTTTCTATTGGAATTCTGACTGATCCAGGTAGATATATTATTTTACTGTATCTACTGATGAAGCTTATGCAACTAGGCTAATGTCACCTTACTGATAACTGGTGAGCCTGGACACGAACTGATCAAAAGAGGCACCCTTTCCATTAAACTCATTGTTGCCTTGCCATTAAGAAAGAAATCTATAGATATGTATAATCTCATAATATGTAATTTATATATATATTAATACGTATCATATACATAAGATACATAATACATAAATCTGTATCATAAGAAATTCATACTTTTCGTACCACAAAAAAAAGAAAACAGGCAGTTCATAAAATTTTCATTGTGAAAGTCTGTCAATAAGCTAACAGATTAAATGTGATAGGCACAGGGTGCTCTGGCTACACCACATATTGAAGCAATCTTAATGCACTCATTTTGATATGGCTAATAAAACACAAGCCAGTGCAATTTTCCAGCTTCTTTTTAGGAAACTACATAAAAGTACAAAACAGATGTACTCAGCTCTTTCCTGTGGTCCTTTCTTTGACAGGGCTGTGGATGAGGAAGGAATAGGCATGGGAAAAGGGTTGGGAGTCAAGCAAGGGTGGGTGAAAATCAGACAGGTCTATCAAGCTCTATTTATTTAGAGATGAAATATAATGTTTTTATATTTTAATGCAGCTCTATGATACAGCTGCATCAAAAGAGTCTACATCAATACGCTCTATATTGCCAGCCTATACTATATGGAATGTAAATCGACTTTTTATAGGGACAAGACCTTCTTTCTCATTATTGTGTTCTTCATTCCCAGTTCTAACATTTTTAAATATACAAAAATAAAAAAAGAATACATATCAACATGTATGTGCGTATGTATCTATAGAAAGAGATATAATCATATATATATACACACACATGGATAGATGGTTAGAGACACTGTTTTTCTTCAGTTCTTCTAAGTTAACAGCATTTAAACATCACTAGTTTTTACAGCTTATTAAAATAAAACAAAAATATTAAGTTGATGAGAAATTATGTGTCTGTTATATAAGACCAGCTAAAGTGACCAAATAATAACATAGTCACTATCATCTCATTTGTGAAAAAGACAGTAACATACAAATTTGAGTCTTAATACTTACACAAAAAAGAATCGAGTGCAGACATGATCAGTATTTGGGACGACCCATATCTCTCCATGTTTGTGCAGGTCAGGTGAGGTGATCACTGTTAAGAGGAAGACATAATTAAAAAACTATTTTATTCTAAGTTACTATATCCCTTTTCTTAGAAATCTAAAAGCAAAAGTACATGTACAAATTAACATGTGAAAAATGTTTAACTTCATTAGCTATCAATAAATGTAAATAAAAATGAGTTGCCATGTAACAATTTTGTGTTTCCAACAGAATTAGTATAATATGGAAATCTCTTGTGTTTTATCAAAAACAAATAGTCTGACTTGGGAACTATGTAGAAAGCTACTAGTGTCCTATAAAACTATCAGGTGTCAAAAACTTACAAGACAGTTAACAGTAGCTACCAAAACTCCCAACATAAGAATAAATTTTTAGCCAAAGTCAGATTTTAAAGCAAGAACAAAGAAAACTATATGACCTGGCAAACTGCCTATTAATTTTTCTGTCCCAAGTTCAGAATAGAAGAATAACTTCAGTATAGGAACAGAAAGGTCTATTGGGTTATCTTCTCAGTGGTTCATCTTTAAAATTTTTCATAATATTATACATTCAAAAATATTAAGAGGAAGGTGTCATATTAACGAAACAGATAAGCAATACTTGATCAGAAAGATATAATTACCATTCTGAAATATCTGCCAAAAATAAAATATAGCATTGTCTGAATTCTTGCCAACTCTGCTCTTCAGTTTTAACCTTTATGATCTCTATTGTACTCGTTTTTCCATTTGTGCCCTTAGAGAAGGTCATAGGAATAAAGCTTTCACCAGTCTAAGCATTCCGTAAACATATTCAAATTCTTAAATATAGATAAGATAGAGAATTAGTGGCATGAGGTTTGCAAAATTTTCAACCTACCTTCACATAAGGCAATGCATTTTAAGTTACGGCTTTGTAGGAACTGGGATTGCTGTCCTTTTTTCTGTGACTAAATTCCAAAAGAATTCAAAAATTAGAGTGAAAATGGGGCAGTTATTTAATTGATCATCGTTAAAAAATAAGTCACTAAAAAGGCCTATCAAGACTAGCAGCAGCAATATCACTGAACTCTCTTATGGCAAGCTGTATCTGTTAATTTCTGTACATAATCATTATTAAATCACTCTTAAAATAAGTGAACTAAAAACCGCTAAATTAAAGTTCAATCGCCCCACAATATGGAATTAGAACTCAAATTTATTTTTACTGGAAGCCTGGAATCTTTATTTCAAGAAAAACAAAATTAAAGTTGCGTGATGTTTTCAAAACATTAAACTCAGTTATTCCAGATCATCTAACTACATAAAACCAACCCATTTTTATAACATCATTAAGCCACAGAGGTATCAGAAACACCTCGTGTGAAAAACCTAAGGTTTTGTTTTTGTGTTTAGATATTAGATTAGCTATATATATATATTTTTTAAAATAAAGCCACATTATTCATCAGATAGATTTTAAATTTGTCCAGAATGTTTGTTTGTTTTTTTCCTGAAACAAGGAATTTGTGCTTACTCTACTCTGCCTGGAATGTTCTTTCTCACACAGAGCCAAATGCCATGTGGACTCACCCCCTATAGGTCTTTATTCAAATAGAACCTTCTCAGAGCATCCTTTCCTGACCATCCCACTTAACGTTCATTCTAGTTCTATTTTCCGTCCCACAGCATTTAACATCCCTTTCCCCTGATTTTTTCTCTATAATATTTTACCACTATCTAGCATTCTATCTATCTAAATATATATTTAGTTTATTTATATCCACTCAGTAGAATGTAGGCTCCAAGGGGATTTGTGTATTTTTGATTATCATTGTAGCCCAATGTCTAAGAGAGTCTCTAGCATTCTAGTAGGAGCTCAATAAATACTTACTGAATATTTATTGAACAAAGGCATTTAGGTTATTACATTTTAGGGTTTTATTCCTTTATGAGTAAGGATCACTTAAAATAATTCTACAGACTTCGAAAGCCCAAGCATTTATTGAAATCTTGCTGGCTAATGGAGCTTGAGCGCACTTATATGCAGTCACGCAAGTTGCTACAACACCTGTGATGCACTGCTGCTTTTACTGCTTGAAGCTGGTTCATCCTTGGCTGACACTTTCTGCTTCTTGTTCATCCCTGAAAACATCAGCAAAACAATAATTTAGGAACAAAGCTGTATGATGCAGTTCAAAATACAATCTATCTACACTGCAAAATTCCACTTTAGGCAAAGGTTTGATTGCATCCAGCCACTCATGGTCACAATGGGCTCTCAAAGGAGCAGCTGCTGGCTGGGCCCTTGATACCTGGGGTGGAAAGTCTGTGGGTTTCAGAAGCCCTGATGGAGTTAAAAGTGGAAAGTCCAGTTTGTTTTCCTTTGCACTAAAACAGGGATAGGAAATTCTCTTGCATAAAATTGATATAATAAGAAAATCTTAAAACTGGGTTTTGACAGGCTTTTAGACCCTTTCATTCTTACCATCTGGTTAGTAAAAGGAGAAGATAAGGGGTGGGAAATATGAACAATATAAAAAAATGTATATTACAACTTATCTTTATGAATTGTTGATACATGATCAATTCCATACAGAATTTACTACTTCTCCTAAGTTATATTAGTGCTTTTGTCTGTGATACTCTATTAATGCCATGATTTTTTTACTGTGAAATATTTTAGACAAAGCAGAACTAAAATTCCTATCTATTTTAGGGTTGGTAGATTTGTACCTATAGTTTATTTGAGAACACTCATTTATTGTTCTGAAATGAAGAAGCATGTTCATTTTTTGTTGTTGTTGCTGCTTCAATAGAAAGCTTAGAAGAATGGACAAAGCATATGGACCAAACTGCAAATGGTGTGGATGTATAACCCCTTCCAAGAGAGACTGTTCTGTTCTCTACCTCCAAGACTTGCAGCCCTCAAAACCAACTATGAAGCTACTTCATTTACTGCAGTGGTTCTTACACCCTCTCCCTAGACAAATGAACATTAACACAGATACATTTTACATACATTTGTATCCCCCACAATCCTTTCCATGAACCCATCTAACGAGTTTATACAACAGTAGAAGCAACGGAAAATCATAGTACTTGAAGATTTGTTGCATTTTCCTTATCTATGCTGAGAATATATTTATTTATTTAAACTGGTTTTATATATATATAAAATATATATTAAATAAATATATTTAAATATCTATATCTATATATCTATATCTATAAATAGATATATCGATATATCTATATATAGATATATAGTTATAGATATCTATATCTATATCTATATATCTATATATCTATATAGATATAGATATATAGTTATAGATATATATCAGCACACACCAATATACATATTGGTGTGTGTACATGTTCTATTTTAATAAGATTTAGAGTCTGATTTATGCTGACTTTGTTTTCTCTGTTGAACTATTTTATTCTATTGCTTATACTATCTTATTCATCCTAGTATTTATTTTTGTAGTGTTATTTTGGCATATTGTACTTTCAAAGATCACTGAAACAATATATCTCAATCCATATGCTTTCCTACATTGTGGCTTTGCCACTCTTTCATCAGGAGATGGAGTCTAATTCCTGAACCTTGAATACGAAAGGGCTTATGATTGCTTTGACCAAAAGTGTATTCAGGAAGTGATGCCATGTATCTTCTGAGACTGGCTCAGAAAAGGCATATAGGGTATACCTAATGCTCTTAGAACATGTGATCTGGAAAACATAAGAGTGAATCACTGAGAAACAACTTGCTATAATTGAAAGAACATGAACTTGGGCAAGGGAATTAGACAAGTAGGCCTGATCAGTGTTCACCTAGTTATTAGACCTCTCTAGGTATCTTGTTCTATCATATGGGGATCTTAAGACTTACCATGCAGGCACCATGAACAACATCTGAAGTTGTTTAATGTAATCATACATCTCTCTCTCTCTCTCTCTCTCACACACACACAACCAACTACGCACAGGTATATGAATATAAAATCATTTAAAAGTCTAAAGGAAAGCACACTGAACTCTGAGGTTACAGAAAAGGAAGAAGAAATTTCATACACTTTATACATTTTGTATAGTTTCAATTTCTTTACAATGACTATAATTTACTTAATATATAAACAGAAAAAATATTCTTCTAAAAATTCTACCACTGATCATTGTAAAATATTCCAAAAAAAAATTAAAAAATGCAAAGAAAAAATTATCCCAAATTCCACCATCTGAGGGTGATAATTGCTAACAATTTGGCGATCATTCTTTCTATATTTTAAATTTACCAGGCTCCTCCTCAGCACACACTTTCAATCTATCCTAAAATGATATTTTTTATACAATCTCATCAAAATATTAACAAGAAGTTGCCAATAAGTAGGATTATTTTAAGGGTGTTTTTCTTACCCTAATTTTCCATACCGTTCAAAACTTCTTTATGGGACACATAATCCAAAGACAAGAAGTTGGCATGATATAGAATTATACTCAACAGTAGTAGTTTAATATGGATGAATATTTTTCAGTGCTCTACATAATGCTTTTTGCACACACTACATTCTTGGTATTTACTTGTGGATAGAATAAACATAGAAACTACTGGAACAAAATTAAATTAATTTTGAAATTGACAAAACATATATAGCTTCTTATACAAAAGGGGAATTATTATAAATTCATCTTGATATGTGAGCTTTGTTTTGCTTCTGATATTTATCAAATAAATTTAATACAAATATATCAAATAAGCTTCAGTCACTTGATAGAAAAATGTGCCTGGCATATATAACAACGAAAAAATAAAAACCTAATAAATTTGAGGTTAGGAATGAAATATAGACTTACCTGAGTAACCAAATGATATACTTGACATTGGACTAAGATAGATCCCACTTCCATACATTGCACCGTGGAGCTAAAACGGGGAGAGGTAGCAGAGGAAGCAGTCGGTCAATGGTTTCGAATCTTAATATTTTACAAAAGGAGACAATCTATCTCCGAGTGGAGCATTAACTCTTAGAAAATGATAAAGCTTTTATTGCAAGGTCAAATTTGAAAATAGTAGTACTGATATCCTTGTCCTTAATGTTCAGAGTAACTTGATAAATGAAAAATGATAGCCAGAGAAAAAATCCTTTCCGCCCTACCAACGACAAAGAGTCACTTATTATAAAGTGCTAGAGTAGGCTTTTATGCTAATGAGTATAAAATTCTGAAAACATACTGAGCTGAAACATACGTGACAGAATTTTGATTAGGATTCACATGCTAGCATATCAACAAAGTATCCTATTTGGGTTTTCATTATACAACATTGTCATTCCACTCTTACCCTCTAAACTTTTCAAGTTAGAGTTTCATTAACTGAAACTCTTCAACTGGTCTGAGAAACTACTTAGAACAATTAAAAGCTTCTCTTTTAATTAAATAAGGTAAGTCTCTTACCTTATTTAGTATGAATTAAATTTACGGATATTACATTTAAGTGTGTCATCTCAACTATCATCAGAGTGTGAGATCTAGCACAGGTAAATGAGTTGAGGATCTCATTTCCTGATCTCCTTACATCATGAGATGAAAATTAGCTGTATGAGAATAGGGAGAATGTTGGATATGAAGGGCATGAATAAAGATGAGGACGATCCTACGATCTCCTGCTAACCCCAAGTGCTGCCCCAGAGGCTGAAAAGCAGGTATCAGATGGCCTTTTGGTGTCCAGTCTCTGATTTTCTTATTCTTAGCCCTACCTTTTGTTCTCTTAGTATTCACACTGAGACAGTGCTCAAAAACAAACAAACAAACAAACAAAAAGTGTTTAATTAAAAGACAGATTGCTTGTAGGGTTTTGCTTTTTGAATGAAACTTTTTTTTCACTTAAGTTCAAAATGATTTTTGCTCTCTCATTGGAAACTCAACTTTTTCTTTTCATTCCTTTATTGTGTATAGGTCAATTCTGCTTCACTTACTTTGTGAAAATTAGTTATGCCTATGAAAAACTCCATGTAATTTTTAAAAACGCAAATGCTTCTTCCTCTTTTGCAAGAAAAAAAACATATCAGGTTGCTTACCGAACTCTAATACTGAAGAATAATGAGGGCTTGTTAAAGTATTCAGAAAATGTACCTGCAGTCTTGTATTAGAAGCAACAACCAGACCATTCCTCAGGATGGAGTGCCAGTTTTCAATGTGTGAGCCACTAAAACAGAGGAGGAGAAGGAAAAAGCAGAACCAAAAAAAAATCAATGATCTTTTAAAGTAGTCACGATATAGTAAGTCCTGGTGCCTTCTGAAAGTTCTGATATTCCAAGTCAAGTATCCTATAGTTGACTATTCAGTGTTAAGAGCCAGTTATTAAAAGGGAACATTTTCCTACCCACACATTTCAGAACACTGCGGTGGAGAGACATCCCCTCCCCCCAACATTAAGCCATACTCACTGAAATGCAAAGGTGCTTCCGAAGAGTTTTTTAGCAGCTCTAAAATTGGATTCTTTGGCTGGTGGACTGCTGAGAAGAAGGAACTGATGCGGAGTATGCATAAACTTCAATTGCTGCCATTGGAAGTAATGACAAATGAAAACATGTTAAATTTAATATATGATCAGGCTGCTGACAATTTCAAATGTTACTGGTTTAAGAATTATCTAGTTTCAAACCATAGACAACAAGGCTGATCCATTAACAGGACTATCCATTTAAAAATAAAAACACCACTGAATAAATGATAAATCATATGGATAGTTCTTTAGGCTAATAGAAAAGAAATAGGAGACAGCCAATTCAAAGTCATTTCTATTTGGCTTTAGAATACACTATGTAATCACATTCAAGCAGATCTGCCTTCCTAATTATATGTATTTTTAAGAATTTTATTATCGAATTCTCTAAGTATACACTAACCATTCAACTGGGGAAATGTTCTGAGTTTGCTAAGCAGAAAAGTTAATTCAAGATTTTTAAACTGTAAAAATTATCATCATCATGCTTTATTTGCATATATTTATAAAATTAGAAATTGCCTATATTCAAATATTGTTTTCCCCCTTGTTCATAGTAAGAAATTAAAACAGAACCTTTTGGATTAGTTGCTTGACAAAATTTTCTAATTGCTGCCCTTTTAGCTAGGAATATACTTATATAGGAACACAATATATAGGAATCTCGCAGAGTAGAGACTCACAGATGGGAGAGCTGAGATTTTAGATACAGCTCTTAGGTGATGATCAGAACTGAAATCAGTCCATTAGCTTTTTCATTATTTTTTAGAGTATTAGGCTGATGAGTAAGATACTGGAGACATTATCTTCTCTGATACAGAAAAGCTGAGCTATGCCAACATGAAACTGACAAGGATAAAAAGCATATGACCCTTTTCTGGTCAATCTCTAGAGAATATTCTTTTCATCGCTCACGGTATAACTATCTCATATTGACTCGTATTTACTTAAAAGGTTAGGGCAACAGCCTGAATCTAAATTTGATATCTCAGAAAAGCTTGGAGCTGGTGCACATAAGGTAATTTTAAACTGAAGAATGAGGCTTAACCTGAGTCTACTTTAATATTCTGGAGAGGAGGCCTAAAAATCACAGGGGTCAGTTCTCCCAACCAATAAGTACTCCTCCCATTTCTGTATGTACATATGAAAAAATGACTTACCCTGTTAACTGGCAGTTTCACAATATGTGATCTATTACTTGAAATAACCCTGAAATCAATTAAAATAATCCATCGGTCACAAACAATTGTCAAATATATTTAAAGTTTTTTCTCCTTAGTTGATAAGTAATTAAATCTATTTTTGCTGTGACATACACTGAGTGATAATTTAATTTAATTACATCATTTTGCTTTGTTTCCTGAAACAATTTGAAGAGTTTATGTAACAAAATAACATTTTACTCTAAAAAGGCAGAGAAGTAGAAGCTTAAAACTTAAGATGTAACAATGATCACAATCTCAAGTATCAGCAAAATGAATATCTCTGAATAGTTTCAATATTAATATTTATATTATCTAAATATTACACAGATTAGAAGTTGATTCATATATCTGTTTCCTTTGCCCCTCCCTACACTGCCTAATTAAAAATGAGTGGTTTTTTTTTTTTTAGTGAGGCAACCCTTGGTTGACCTCACAGGTTGCAAGGACCTCGTCAGCTTACAATCCTTTATTTTTTTAATTTTTACGCCTACAGCACATGGTCCTCCTAGGTGGTTTCCCATCCAAGCACTAACCAGGCTCGACCCTGCTTAGCTTCTGAGATCAGACGGGATCGGGCTCGTTCAGGGTGGCATGGCCGTAGACTCCAAAAATGAGTTTTTAATGAAGATCTTTTTCTTTAAATAACTGAGAATCTCTTTGGGTTGATATATACACGATTTATATATAAACTGTTATTCAACATACTTGTTATACAACAAGACACCAAAGATGACAAAATTAAATTCAGGTATCTGAAAAAACTAATTGTTTTATGTACATAAAATAATCAGCAGGGAAAATTATACAACGTTTCGGTAGATTTTTTTTTTCCCCTTAGAAAAAGAGTGACTGACAAGCTGAAGGAAATAATCACAAGTAATTAAAAGTTAACAATCAGGCTGACTTCAGGGGAAAAAAGAGATTAGATATTTGAGATTTGTATCTTCACTCTGAACATAACAATGTGAGAATTTTAAAAGTTAAAATTAAAACTGTGTTATTTTACTGAATTCTTCAGAATTTTAATAATAGATCAGAAAAGATACAAAGAAAGAAGACCTCTAAACCTAATTTTTGTCATGGTCTTATCAGACTAAATAAAACGCATATTATAAAATTCTGACTAAGCGAAAGTTAAGTAATCAGAATCACGAGAAAGTCAGATTCTTTCTCTTTTGCCCATCCTTACATACTTTTTTAAAAAAGTCCCTAGTTGTAGCATGGAATGAGTACTCATTCGCACCAACCTCTTATAATCTTCACATCTGTATTACTGCATGGTAATCATGGTAAATTCCATAGTCTTTGAGTTTTTAGTGATTTCAAAGAGACATGTACATAAAACACTTACAGCTATGGGAAGTAGCTGTAAGTTTTCATTTTGCAAATGAGGAAGTAGAGGGCAAATTATTTGAATGGTGTAGTGCAAGGTGAGTTCTCAAGCCACCTCTGCTATTCTTAGCCTAGCCTCCTTCTGGGATCCGTGCTGGACTAATGCTATATCCCTCACCGGGCTCACTCTGAAACAGTGCCTCATCTGCAGTCATCAAACTATGAGTTCATCAAATTTATACTGACCTTGGTAAGAAAGTAAATTATACAAAACATTTTAGAAGGATTTTCAATAAGTGAGTTTCATCACTTAGAAAATTAAAAGAACCTAAAACTGCTCCACCACATAATCCAGTCAATCGTATTTTTCTAAAACTATAGACAAACTGTTGTCACATATACTGAATATCCATGTGCTGCATCTTCTTCCCTCTGTGATGTACGGGTTTTAATTAAAGTGAGAATCATTAAAGATTCTTGGATTGTAAAATCACCAGGCCTTAAAGGCTTTTAGAACTGTAGCATTGCAGGTCTTGCAACATAGGCTTTTTCCCCACCCTTTAAAGTAAGCAGTAGAAAATGATGCTGTTTTCAGTAAGAGGAAAACTAATACCATTGCAGTAGGGGATGAGCAAGGGGGTCTTGTTTATCCATCTGCTTCTTGATTTCCAGATATGGTGCCTGAAAAAGAGGTCATTATACTGTTTGGTTTTCCTTAAAAATTCCTTTTCCTTTTTTTTTCCTTTTTGCAAAATAATAATCAGATTGAACAGGTATGCCTAAGTCTAGTTAAACTTGAACATCTATGGCTGTGACATGGTAACAGCAACAATTACCCTTTCTTGCTGCTCTCAACCCCCAAGATTATGTGAACTCTGAGCTTCCATGTAGCACAAAGGATTTACCCTAATATTTTGCTAAGAGACTCAACCAAACTCTAGTCTGGTTTCCATGTACTAAGCCATGTCCCTAAAGGTGACCCCAAGCCTACTGCTGAGTTCTTGCTCAAGAAAACCCAATGCTTGAGCAAAGGTATGTCGTACCAACCCACACTGCTAACCTCTCAGTAATTCTCCACTTATCCCCCTTCTGTAATTTTCCATATCCCTGTAGCCCCTATTTTCACTTTTCCAGAGCCCCTTTTTCTTCTCTCTGCTCTCACTTTAAAAATCTCAGTCACTTTGTCTCATTTGGAGGGGAGCTCCCCTCATACTGCCATCCTCTCTCTCCACTCCTGCAGTTCTCTGAATAAGATCTGTCTTGTCATCTTTAACAACTGTCTGGTGCTATTTCTCCTTCACCATGGCGCTTTTAACTTTTAACTAACATTAAAGCAAAACCTGTAATAGTTACTACTAATGTTCACATCGGAAATACTGACTTAGATATAGATCTTTATGGAAAAAAATTGGACAAAATTTACATAAGAAGAGCCCTTCTCTTAAAAGTATTTAATCAAATTTACCCAGTCAATTAACCTTCTCATAGAACAAAGGGCAATCTGTGACAATTCATGTCTATCTATAGGACAATACATTCTGGAAAATAGGACAGTATAATATTATATTTATTTGGAGAGATTTAAAGAATTGATGCAATAAAACCTGACAGCATCCCTATGAAGTATACACTGCAAGAGGGTGAAGAGTTATTGTTTATCATCTAGACAGTGAAGGAAACTGAGGCATCAAGCGATTTAGCAACTTGCCTAAGGTCACAGGCCACATCATTGATAAGCGAGTTCCACAATGTGAGCCTCTATCTCCCTAAGCTGACACTCAGTCATCTCCATTGCCTCCTATTAAAATAGCTTACACATGACCCAGAATAAAGGAAGTCATTTTTGGCAGATTGCTGATCCCAGAGTCAGAGTTTGTAGCTATTTTTAAATTCAGGAATGATCTGGGTCTAGGGTATAGTATAAATATCCCATACCAACGTCTTTGGTAACCAAAAATGTTTACCTAACTTTGTGTGAAATATTGCAATAGGTTCTTTTTTTCCCCCTAAGTGGAAATGCATTTTACTATTTTCGTTTCCTTATACAAATATAATACATATTTGTTTAAAAAAAATCCAGAGAATACAGAAAGGTACGGACACAGAAACCCAAACAGAAAAGATGTCAGATAAGCAAATAATGTAACTTGGAATTAAAGGCTCTCTTGTTTACCAGTGTCTGACACATACTATTTGTGAATGAATGAATGGATGAATACCTGACTACATGAATAAGTAACTATCAAAGGAATCAAGAATCAAAGTTAGGAATATAAGAATGTACTTTTGGAGCACATTTTCACATAGAGTAGAGATGATGGCACTGGTAGTAGGAGGAGGGCAGCAGCTTTGTGGCCCTGAGATAGGAGGAAAATCCACTATTCTCTACCCAGAGAAAGGGAATGACTCAGGGTAATACTCTTTATGAGCCTGCAAAGGTCTCTGGGGGCAGGGCAAGCCTCGAAACCTACAGATACAAACTGAATCCATAATGTGTGTTGTTGTCAATTTGAGATTATTAGCTCCCATTTATAATGATGAGTTTTAAACCTCTCTTCAAATCTTTGGCAGTAAAAAGGCCTCAATAATTCAATAGCATGTGCTTTTCCAAGAACTGGACTATATATATCACAGTAATACATTGGACTTTCATAATAAACCCTAATCTTTGCTCATCAAACTTGTCCACCAAAGGCTCCCTAATGGCCCAAAATATAAACTCTCAGGGAGTCTGGTGTGTTCCAAAGTTATTTGGAGATTCTGTATTATATCTAATATATTTCTCTACAATTTAAATTTGATAAAGTGTTTGATTTTTAATTTAACCTTAAAATCATGTTGTGAAATTATTGCCATTAATTAAAATTGACAGTCCAGGAAGATGGTACCAGGTTTAACTTTGGCCTTAAGAAATACCAACTTATCTCCATGTACTCAAACTCTTGCCTGAGTTTGAGAACAGAGCATTATGATTATAATTACGCCACTACCCTCCGAAAGTCACAGTGGGAGCATGCCAATACGTTCATGTAATTTAATTAAAACATTTTGGTACAGCATACTTATAAATTTCTTATGATTTTAACTATACTCCCATACAATAGAAAAGTACTGCATGGCCAGTATTTTCAGACAATTTTTTTCCTCTCAGAACATTTTTCAAATATGATTTTATTCAAGCAAGACCGAACTGTCCAAGACCATAAGATGATATACTTACTTGTGTCATTTCTCTAATAGAAGTTATGCTATCCAGTGCTTTCATTACTCGATCATAGTTCTTCTTCTGTTTGAATGGGGGAAAAAAGTATTCACTATAAGCCTTTGCAAGTCTGCACATTACTAGAGAAACATATTATTTCTGTACATGAATTTTCCATCAGGGTCAATTTGAAAGCCACAACTGTGGTGTATACATAAAAAAGAAGACTTTAATAAGATGGTTCAAGGATGTAGGATTTATAACTGCGTCAGAGGGAAGAAAAAAAGAAAATAATGTCAGTCCTAATATAAGTACATAAAATAATGTTCAGCCTACAAGGAAAAAAACTATATATACAAAAAAAGATATTGGGCTCCTGATTCTGGCTTTCACCATTAAAAATTAAGCCATGATGAATAAATTAAGCATAAAATTCTTCTAAAAATACAAAATCCACTTTAAGTCTTACAATTTCATTTTGCTTTTCTTTTCTTTTGATTGGAAGATTGTCACCCAAAGAGTAAGACTAATAACATACTACACTCAATCGGCAATTCATTTTTAAAGCATAATATAAATGTGTGCCACTTAAGAGGAAAAAAAGTTCTTCCAAGGATATTTTGTACAGTCATTGTTTCTAAAAATGACTGCAAGATGAACAGTAATAGAAAGTACGGCAATTTTAGCTCTCGCGCAATTTGAAAATTTTGTTATTTCACAAGAATTCTGCCTAATATCCATGAAATTATTTTCTCAAGGAATGCCAGTTGACCAACAATGTGAATTCAACTATCACTAACCTTCAGATAACGAGAGGGAAAAGAGGGAGGACAAGGGAGAGTGAAGTGAAAATACTATTGAATAAGAGAAATTTGTGCTTTGACACATGATCTTTAATCTTAAAATGAGGTTACATAAATTAGAATCTCAAAAAATATATAATGAAATTAAAATAAGCATATCGACCATTATTAACCAATTATTATAGCTATTTACCTACCTTCTAAGCAGATGGGATGTGTAAAGGTAACAATTTGAGGTGATTAAGTGTGTCTAGTTTCATGAAGGTGAAGCTCTAAAAATGCTTTTAAAGGATGAAAGGATAGGGGAAGTATTAGGTGAAAGCAAATCAAGTTTATGGAAAAAAAATGATACTTAGTAAATAGATATAGAGTCCACGACAGGTCATGGATATGCTTGATGAGATAGTGATTTAGACAGAAAGAGGAAAGCTAATGAGATCAAAATCTTAACTATTGTTATAGGAAACTTGTGATTGGTATGTCAGGATAACTACTTACCCTGGGGTTGAAGGCCAGCATCTGAGGATCGTTGGGATCTACCACAGAAGGATATGGCTCGAAAATGACAACTTTTCTAGGAGATTCCAACGCAGACCTACACATGGATACTAGTAGATCTACCACCTTGAAATATATGCACAAGATAGTCACTGTCCTTCCAGTTTTATCAAGTGCTTTGCCATTGTTTCTCCCTCTCATAGTACTTAATTAGGAAAGATTCAGGACTGCTATTAACTTCTCAAATCTGTCATTTGTGGCTTTAGATCAAATTTGACCAAACTTGACCATTATTTAAAGTAACTACTATGTGTTGCTTCTAATTACAAACATCTTGATATCTCTTTGTTATAAACAATGTGCTAACATTGGTCTATACTCTATGGCAAGACAATGAAAAAGAGAGATAAGTCCTGGCTCTCGTAGAATTGACATAAAATGCTTTTCTGCCTCCAAATTGTTTTTTCATTTGTTTTTATATTTTTCTTCCTATGTCATAAACACTGCAACTGTAAAATTGAATGTTGTTTTTTTATTACATGTTCTGCCCATTATCTTTTCATCTAAGTTTTAAAAATAAATTAGGTTACATTTTATGGCACTATAACTTTACAAATAAATTTTACACAATGACAAGGTTTCGATGGCTCAACTTCACCATATAACAAAGAATCACAATTGTTTTCCATATAATAGAAAGTTGGTTTAATTTCTCTCCTTGGCAATTGCAAAAATGACAAAACACACGTTAGATAAAGATAGCAAAATTTATATCTAAAAAACATCAAATGCTGGTTTGCTTTAACAATAAACTATCTAAAATTTGCCCAAAGTAGCAGAGTGAAGATAACTAGTGGATCAGAATAAATTTCTCAAATCAAAATATGGAATAACTAGTATCGCGTCTTATACTACCTGAGCTCCGGTTGCTATTTCATCAGCAGCTTCGTTCATTACTCCCAGGGTTTGAAAAGCAAATACACACAGCTCTCGTTCACACACAGTAGGCTACGAAAGAATAAGAAATCAATTGACATTTTTTCCATTTCCCAATTCTAAATTCAGTTTATGACACTGCAATTAATAAATGGAAAATGCAAAGTTTCAGAATGTTAAAAAGAAAGGAATCATCACTTTAATAAAAATTTCTAAATTTAGGTCACAATGAATTATAATTGTTTATTAATATAAAGTCATAAATATGATTAAGAAATCTATTTGTTAATTCTAACACCTGCACTAGGAATGATTTAGCAACAGATAAAAATATACTTAAATTGAAAAATCCAACTCTCCCTCTTAATATACATTTGCATATTTTACACACACACACACACACACACACACACAGCAGATACCTAAGCTGGTGATATACTAAAAAAGGAAGTTAAACTCCAAAGTTGTGTAAAATAAATATACAAAGGAAAAATTCCACCTTTTCCAAAGTAATTTTCTTTGGAGGAAATAAGCATGACTCTGCTTACTTGCTACCCAGCTCTTGAAAGATTGGTTTTGTTGCAAAGACTTTTAACTTCAATAACCTCCTGAAGTCAGCAGCACTGAAATATACACTCTGCAATTGCTTTGGAAGAGTTCTCATCTTTCAAATCTAATATAGTGTCATCTGTTTGATTTATCTTATCTCCCGAGTTACATTGCATTAGGTAGCTGATGAAGCCTAACATGATGCAATCCATAGTACCGCTGCACAGCAGAGAAAAGGCATTTGTTAGTGCCACTGCTTCTATGCTCACTCATTTCAGAGGACCACTTGGTCTACTGTTTAACCAGTGGGGAAGTATGATCCCATTCAGAACATCCTTTTGGTTCGGAATGAGCTTATACAGCGGGAACTTTGTGGACATAAAGCATGACCAATCACAAAGGTTTCTGGGTGATGTTCCCTTAAGAGAATTAAAAAAAAATTTTTGATATATTTCCTTTGTAAACCTTAAAAGTGTAGTTTGATTCCATTTCAGAAACATTAGGAAAGCTACCTATGGGAGGAAATTAATTGAAGAAAATTCTTCATCCAGACTCAAGTGATACATACTGCTATATATATTTGGATATACTTAGAGCAGACTGTGCAATTTCTACTACTATCTCTTTTACTTGAATGTTTAATGTATTTTTCTATTTTTCTGTGTGTCTCTATGTGCATATATGTTTCACCCTCAATTTCCCCTACTGACATCGGGTCCTTTTGTTAACTTACTGGGAGTGAGGCATGGTTTGAAATAATAATAGTAATCATTTACAGCACATTTACTACAGTGTCAAACACTAACACTGGTGTTTGAGTATAGCGAAACTGTATACAAACAAGAATCCAGGGAGAAGATGAACCTTTGAAATCATAAAAGGCTCTGGGAACTAATTCATGTACCAGTTACCTAAAGTTCATTGAAGAAGTAAACAGAGAAAGAGGGTACTTTGTTTTTAATATTCTTGTCAAGTAATCATATGCTTTTTATGATTAAAACCCATTAATCCCAAAGCTGAATAATAGGATAAGCCTCATTTAGGGTGTATGAGTAATGAATGGTTTTTATTTTTTCATTTGAACCTTGGACAATGAATTACACTTACTTTGTGATCATCAACTATGTATGTATGTTTGCATGTGTGTGTTCACATACAAATCCCAGGGACTGTAACATGAGAAACTACCTTTTTATACAAAATTGTTGCCTTAAACAAAACAAACAAAAAAACCCCAAAAAACCGCTACACTAGATCAGAAGGGTAATTTTTTTGAAATTTTAATATAGGAAAAATTTTAAATAAGGAAAAATATGATAATTATTCTTACACAGCTCTATCAACTCATTTTGTCCCCAATTCTAGGTATTCATGTGCTGCCCTGACTTTGTCTCAAATAATTTTTACCAATTTTACCAAAACCTCCTATTCTTTATCTTGGGTAACAAATGAGCAACATTTCAATGCTTTCTATAATGTTTTCCTCTGTGTTTCTGTTTCATCCTACTCCAGATTTATACTGAAACCCCTAAATCTCAAAATCACATGGACTTGCCAACTGATACAGTATTTTAAATAATAAACCTACATTCCTCATGATAAAGGTGTGACTTGATACTTTATAGACACCTCTTGTCTTTCTTGCATCCTTTGGTTGAAAAGCTACCTTTCGTCCCATACTCTAATGCATAAGGCTGATTTCTGGGAATATCCTGCTACTGCAACTGTTTAAAGAAGAAAATCAGGTACCCTAGAAAACATTTGGGGGAAATTTTTTTTTTTTTGCTATCATACTGAAAAATTAGAAGTACACATTATGTTCTTATAAAAATAATTTTATCTTTCCCTTAAAAAAAAAATAGCACCTATAGAGGTAGTAATATTTTGATTAATTTATATACTATATTAACACCATACTAAGTAAATATCAGTGAATTTTTAAAATAACAATTCTATATCTATCACGTTTTTACTAGAACATTCAATAGCGTTCAAGATGTAAATCAGCTAATTAGTTTTGTAGTTTTGCCAGTTTTTGTAGACTACTGAGCCTCTCCCATGTTTATTCACATGTGAGAGCAGTTCAAAATGTCAACGCAAGATGGTGCACTAAAAGAAAGTTCTCAAACTTATTAAGTAATCAAGATTTGATGTATCTTATTACTTACAAACAAGACTTCCTACTCAAAAAAGAGAAACTGAATTAATCTTCCTTAATAAAATAAGTAGTTATATTTTGCATTAGCATTCTCCCACCTGGAATCAACTACCAGCCAATTCCCTGTCCCCAACAAATTGTGCTACTACTAACTATATTAACACAGAAAACTCTAGCATCAATTCAAAATAGAACAGTCATTTAATAGCTGTTACTAAATAAGTGAAATGATGTTTTATTACACATACTTTAATGCAAAGTATGTATGCCTAAATATAACCAAATGTGTACAGTATTTACTAATTCATTTTTGATTTTACAATTAGTTTCAATTTGTAAAAGATTACCCATTCTTGATGTTATATTATTATATTACCTTCAAGCAATTAGTTTCTATGATTTAAACTGTAAAACCATGGCAAATCTCTCCTGCCATTACAAAAACATAATATTTTTGCAATATAATATTCATTATACAACTTTTAAAAACAGGGAGAACTCTACAGGTCCCTAAGCTAAAATCTATTTTAGAAGTTTTTAAGCTAAGATGAATACATTTTTAATTTTACTTGAATCAAAGCAATTAAAATGAGTAATAAAAGCATATTTCAAACACCATTTTTAAACTCTAAAGAATAGTTTAGAACTGAACTGCATTTAAGAAACTGTGTTTTCAATCAATTTAAATTACTTCCCATTGAAAATAGAAACAATACAACTGAAGAGAATTTAAGTATTTATATATAACATGGTGTAGATGAGTGGTTTCAAACCTTTTTTTGCCAGTCTTTTAGTTCAAAAAAAAATTTCATGTAAACCTTATAAAACAAATAAAAGTGCATATAAATTATTCCATATGGACACATGTGCACAGTTCAATTTTCCTATCTGTAAGACAGGTATCGAAATCATAGCTGGCTCACCAGGATGACAAGAGAACCAAGTGACAAAAAGAATCAAGTGAGATAAGGTTTATGAAATCTCCTTGAGGTATAGAGAGATGTTTAAATATTAACACTACAAGGTAACTTGGGTTAGCTGTCCTTTACTCAATGTATACACAAAATAAGTGTTAAATAAAAATTTGCATTGAAGCATTAAGTAGCATTTTTATTTTCATACCCACGGCTTGTCAAAATTCTATATTGCTAAAATCTTTCTTGCTAAAAAAGAAATGAGCAATGTAAATACAAATTTATAAGGTAGAAACTAGTGTTGGAAACACAAGAAAACTAGTGTTGGAAACATGAGAATAATTAAGAATAGCTCCTAGAAACAAAAAACTTACAAGCCTTTAATTCTCTGTATTTCCAGTTTTATAGTCAATGCTTTGAGTTCTTTTCAGGGTTCGGAAGAGAAACACGTTTGGAGTAGCGAAAGACTTGCTCATAAGACAGACAGTAATCCCAAAGATATCAAGACATGTCTACTATATGACAGGATCAGACCAGATTAGGCCTCAACACATGGTGAGCCCTGTTATTTCATAGAACTAAAGTTGTTGTTTGAGCATTAAAACCAATTTCTACTCAATTTGGATGTAAAAAAATAAAACATATTTTTGAACTAAAAGCTTTCTGGCATAATTTTTATTTAGTTTAGCCTGTATTTCAGAACTTGAAATCTTAACTTCTGTAACTTTGGGGAATAGAGTAACAGGGAGGGAGTAAGATGTACTTTTTCGTCCATTCTTCAAATATTAAAGTCAGACCTAAATAAGAAGACCTACTATCTTCCTCTTAAAAGGTAAAATGAGACATATCCAGGTTTATCCACATGCTGTTTCCCAAGAATTTTCATAGAAATGCCTTAAACTATGACCAAATTATAACTGAGTATTATTAATTTCACTGTGCAAATAAAAATCTTAGTGACAAATATTTGTCTAAGGTCCACAGTAAGGCTGCATACAGAAAAATACAGATTTTCAGGATTCTGAGTTGACTTTGCTTTAGTAGGATTAGGCATTATTCTCAAGTGGTGACTTGAGACTCTCAGGACTGATGGTTCCACTCAGAGCAAGTAATCTGAGACCCTGTCACATGGCATGAGAAGAGAACGAGATACAAGTGCCACATCATATGTTGAGGTGGGAAATGGAAAGTCTATTAACCAGGGACACACAGAATAGTTGCCAAGTATCAATGACAAACTTCCAACTTTGTAAGGACACCGATCTGCGCATCCATGGGTTTTCTCCAAATGAGGTCAGCAGCTCGCGTGCAAGGTTCAGAGAAGAAAACAACTGCATTGATCCAGGATGGGAGTGCTGAAGGTGAGGGTAACAAAAAGACGAGGACAACTAGGGCTTCAGAGGCTGATAAAACTGGCTGATTCTGTCGATGAAACCTTGTTTTCTTGCTTTGCAAAAATCACTTACTGAAGACACAATCAACATTTAAAAAGCATCTCTGAAAGAGTTTGCTGTATTAACACTCTAGTTGATTCCAAAATGCAGAGAGCCAACGATTCGGTTTGGGTTTGGTTTTCTGGTGATGATCCAAAGCGCACTGCCAAACTGAAAAATCGGGCATCTCTGAACGATCCTCCTGATGTTAATGTGGGCTTTATGCAGATTCAAAATGTTACATGTCAGAACCTGTTACATGTCAGAACCTAACATTTATAAACATTGTAAACAAAAGGGAAATTTGGAGCATCCTGGTATTTCTAAATAAGCAGTTTAGTTCTCCATGTAGCAGAAAGTATGACATGTTTACATACACCTCTGAGTAAAGTGGCAGAATAGCACAAATAGACTACAATTTTAGGAAAATAGGGGTAAAAGGGGACTATGTCATATAAAAAACAGGCTGGGAGAAAAGAGAAAAAAATACAAGAAACAGTGAATTTTTAGAGAGAAAGATCCAGGAAACATAATAAAAATCAGACATAGAATTCTATGGAAATCTGAGAGCTTTATCTTACTTACTCACCACTGGGTTATAGCTTATTCTTTTTATATCTCTGGGATTTATTACAGTTTGTAACATATCATATGGACTGAATAAATGATCAGCGAGTCAGTCTATTAATACTCCATAAGAAATTATATTTGTAATAATTTTTATATATTACTATTAAAATTACAGTAAGACATATTGCAATGTAAATATGAGAGATCTAGAGAAAACGAGAATGTCTGATTTAGGTGAAATATCTGTTTAACAGAATCAATAGGCAGTTCTTTCTGTTTATCTCTCTTCTTTTGAATATAAAATGTTTCTTTGATTTTCATTTCCTGATCTGATTTAATACATCAGGTACCTTACTATTTAAGAAACCAAAGTAATTTCTCTGATTTCCTTAGATATCAGTCTGAAATACAGCAACATAAAACCATGCGAAAACTACCTATATTTATTTTTTAAATGTTGTTTTCTCTTTTACAAAAGCACTTCCACTTCTGGAAAGAGACAGCAAATTTCACTGGTACAGAATGATATAAAGTAAAATAAAATTTGAAGTAAGGCACAGAGAACACTAGTGACACCTATGAGCTTTCTATCACTATAGGAATGAACTGCCAGTGATTAAAACACAGAGAGTGAATCCCCAACAATGTGTGTAGTAAATTTTCAGGACGTAAAAGAAGTCAATTCAAGTACATGAGTCATGAGTACCTTCATGGTAAGAACTGTGGCCTTGGTGCCATTCTGCCATGGTTCAGATGATGTCTCTATCATTTACTAGCAGTGTGACATTGAATAAATTACTACTTTCCTCAACTGTAAAGGAGGGATATTAATAATACTCACCTCATAGGGTCATTATGAAGAATAAATTAGATAATCTATGTAAAGCATTTCGAACACATGCTCACATAAAAAGCACTCAAAAAGCAATGTGCCATTAATAACATTACTATTATTTTCTGCAGTGGAAATGGCATAGCCACGGACCGAGCAATAGATCAAGATCAAAAGGTGGACAGTGACAAAGTAAAAAGGTGCCTTCTACATGAAATAAACTGAGGTAACCAAAGGATTCTCCCCATTCTCATAACTATACATTTCCATGTATTGAATAAAAATAATAAACTTACACAAATATTTAATTAATAAATGCTGATTATTAATGAACTAAATGCTGGATTTCAGAGTAACAATGTCTCTGAGAACAAAGCCGACTAGCAAAATATAGTGTAAGAGTGGCAAGAAAATACTTCTTAAATGTTTCCCATAAATAAAATGAAACAAACATATGAAACTTGACAGACGATCATGATCATAAATGGCTATTATGTATGTTTTAAAATATATATCTTGAAATACAATGACTTAAATATAAGTTATAAACTATAAGACTCTTAGAAGGAAACTCAGGTATATATCTTTGTGAACTTCAATTGATAAATTTGAACTCCATTAAAATTAAAAAACTTTTGTGTGTCTCAGAAATACACGACAGAGTATAAAGATGTTGTATTACAAAGTCACATACCTGAAATTTGTTATTAATTAATATTACCCCAATAGATTTCATAAAAAAAAGTTTTAAAAAGAAATCCCATGCAACAGTAGAAAAGTTTTGCAAATTATGTATCTAATAAGGATATAATATTCAGAATATATAAAAAAACTCTTACCAACTCAACAACTAAAAAGGACAAACAACCCAGTTTAAAAATAGGCAAAGGATTTGAACAGATATTTCTCCAAAGAAGTTACACAAGTGGTCAATAAGCACATGAAAAGATGCTTGAAATCTTTAGTCATCAGTGAAGTGTAAATCAAAATCATGAGATACCACTTCACACACTAGGATGGCTAAAATTAAAAAAAAAAAAAAAAAAAGGAGAATAACAAATGTTGGTGAAGATGTATAGAAACTGGAAAGAAACATCATGCACTGACGATGGGAAGAAAAAATGGTGCAGCCACTGTCAAAAATAGTTTGGTAGTGCATCAAAAAGTTAAACGGAATTAACATATATTCCAACAATTCTATTAACCAATGAATGGATAAACAAATGTCTTCTATCCATATAATGTAACATTATTCCACCATAAAAAGGAATAAAGTACTGATACATGCTACATGGCTAAACCATGAAAACATAATAAGTTAGAGAATCCCAAAACAAAAGGCCACATGATGTATGATTCCATTTATATGAAATATCTGGAACAGGCGAATTCATAGCGATAGAAAATAGATTCATGGTTGCCAGAGAATGAGGGGAAGCAGAAACCGGAGGTGACTGGTAAGATTCAGTGTCTTTCCTGAGTGATGCAAATGTTGTGGAATTAGACAGTAGCAACGGTTGTACAACATTGCAAATATACTAAAAACCAGTGATGTATGCATTAAAATAGTGAATTATATGTTATATGAATTTCATATAACAATGCTTAGAAATTGGATAATTTCTCCCCTAAATGCACATACACACATTGATTCTTATTTCTATACTCCCCCAATCATGCCCCTAATGTGTCAACGAGCCAGCATTTTTTGAAATCTTTATTCTGATTCTCTGCATGCTACTGTATACCCTCCTCTTAATGGAATGAGGACTACCCTTCGTTCTCTATAGTAAACATGTTGAATTGTGTGGTTTTAAAGAAACAGAATTGTTTATAAGTTTATACATATATATCTAGATTTATATCTATCTCTATACCCACCTACATCTATATGATATAGGTGATATATGATTTAGATGTAAATGGATACAGATATAGGTATAGATAAATGGATAAAAAGGCAGATGATAGGCGCATGTAAGAAATACAATAAGAAATAATTTTTCTAATATAAACTACTTGCCCCTTTCATGGACTCCTTAAGAAAAAGTGATTCGTCTGTGAAAATTATAACGCTTTGTATATTAAATAATTTGCTCAACGCAGTATTTACTGTAAATGCAGTTATTTACTTATCTTTATATCTTAACCCTTTTCACTTATATTCAAAATCAACACTGACATTGCACAAATGAGAACTCACCCTAAGCATGGGGCCGTTCTGAAACACGTGTGGCTCATCACAAACCACACAGTATTCATTCAATACGGGGATCCGCTGTTCAGCAAACTCAATTGTCTGAATAAAACGACGAAGAGAAACAATCAGGTCAAAGATGAAAATGAGTTGAAAACCTACTAAAAGCTAAAATTTTCTACAAGGGTTGGAGTCTTGGCTCATACCTGCACTAGGAAGCCACGGTCTCGTATTGGAATGCATTTGGCACCATTTGGCTATAAAAAAGCAAAGTAAAAGAACAAGATAATTTTCTTTAACTGGGAAAATATGTAAATTATAGCCTTTTACTTTGTGAAATAGTGAATGAAGATGTGATCTAAGATCACCTGTTTTATGAGATAAATCACTGACAATGACATCAAAATTTTAGAATTTCTGTATTCCAAACACTTTCTGCCACTACTATTGCAATCTGTGTCTAAACTAAATGAAATTCTTAATTTCTGATCTTCTAGTAAAAGTGATTGGCATCTTTACATGATCACAAAAACTGATTTCCTCTATTACTCATTGTCAAAATTCCCAGCTCCTCATTTAGAGGACTTCAATCTTACTTTACTATCAGAATTATTCCTCCAAGGACATATTAGATAGTTACTGAAAATACAACACTAAACTATTATATTATGCTTAACCATACAGGAGGACATGAAGACATTTTCTTTTACAGAATATCTGAGATTATCTTTCTTAGGTATAACTATCACAAGAAACTTTCTACTGAGTAACTCTTTGGCATTATTTTCTTAATGCCCTTAATGCTTACTTTTGGGAAGAAATGGACTTTAAGAGATATCTACCTAAAATTATCAATATACTCAAATATCTTTTCTTAATACAAATAAAATTTTATACTATAATTTACAATTTAATTTTAGAAATAAATCTATGCAAGAGAAACAGAGTTTTCTAAAAACAGCATCTTCTTATTTTTTTCAATTTCATCTATTGCTAGGTGTATCCACATTAATAGTTAAGAGCTAAATATGCCTCTCCCCCAATGCAGACACACACAGACACACACACACACTGAAAGCAAACAAAACTTTTTAACAAGAAGATAGGTCTGTTTCTTTATCTGAAACTGACTATAACGTAGATCATTCTAGGGGTAAATTTCGTGAAAGACTGACTCCCGATAAATACCACCCAAAGGACTTAAGCTTTAATACAGTCATCGCACAGCCTCATGCCCCTTCCAAAATAAACATCTTCAGGAGAAAGTGACTTTGGTGTTATAAAGTAGACACCAAGAGCAGCTTTAAGTAAGGCAGAGAGATACAGCTGGAAATGTGACTTTTCTCTGCAAGTAACAGTGTCCATGAGCAAAGTTTTCCTCTTTCATATATATAGCTGATAGGACATTACTCTTAATTAATAGACAAACTTTTTCCTCCACTACTTATCTGAGAAAATTAGAGATCAGATAAACCTACTTAAAAAAGCGTTAAAATTCAAGCTTGCTTAAAAGGATAGGCTTTGTGAATCCAACTGACTTCTTTACATTTTTAGTAGCATTTATTAATGTGACAGGAATTTGGACAGGACCTCAAATCAATAAGCTACGTTTATTTTTTCAGAATCAAAATGAACTTACAGTACCAGTAGCAACTGTCTAGGATGCAAAAACAAACAAAGAAAAAACCACCAGTAAATTTTTAAAAACAAAAAATAATCTTGCTTCTTTTTCCTCTACTAGATCTCTACTAGTCTCTGAAAAACCTCTACCCAACGTCAGCTTAACATTTAAGAACACAAGATGAAAACATTTACGCACAGCAGGCTGGGATGATGAAGATGAAGATGGTGTTAAGATACCAATAAGCCCTGAGGTAAGAGAGAGCCTCCTGCCCTCTGAGTTAGGTTCCTTGAAAAGCTCAGTTTTGGATGACTTGGGGGCACTGGAGTAAGCCTTGCTGAGCAACTTGTGATTTTTCAGGCCATATAATTCTTCCATTCTGAGATTACTGGAGTAAGACCTGCTTAACAGTTTATGGGGCTTCAAGTTGGTGTTGTGCTCACAGCGTGGATCTCCAGAACAAGATCGAGTCAATAGTTTATGAGACTTGAGGGTGAGGCAGTCCTCTTGCTTGACAGCTGGAGGGCAGGAACGGGTCAAGAGTTTGTGCGACTTAATTGTCGTCACTGCCTGCTCAGCCCTGGGGTCGCTGGACAGAGAGCGACCAAAGGTCCTGTGCGACTTAGTGGCGCACACATCATCAGTCTTGACAGTGCTGGAACAAGTCCTCCGCAGCAGCTTATGCGTTTTGGAGATTCCATCTTGCTCAGATTTCAGTTTGGATTTGCTTTTGCCACAACCAGGGGGAGGATAACTTGGCGACCTTCAAAATTGATCAACAACACAGAGTAAATCCGGACTGTAACAGACCATGGAGGACACTTGTCAGGCTCAATCAACTTAACAGTGTCATAAATACCAACTTAATTTCACATAGCCTATCCAGCTAAAATGGAAATCAAAAGTGTGCAGAATGATCACAGGGACTAAATTATATTTTTCCTGAAAAGCAAAAAAAGATTATCAGGTTTATTTCCCACTCCTACTCATCCCAGAGTCCTACATGGAACTAACTTTGATAGAGAAAACTGATTCGAAGCAAAGAATGTAATTTGGGTAAATATAACTCATGTTAAGGAAATGCGTAAAAATTCTAAACACAGAAATTAATATCCATGTTTTTGATGAAATGTATGTCACTTAGTCTGTTCTCCGAAGTCACAAAGAAAATAAATGGATGTCATACTATAGCAAGGATGCTCTGAACTGAATAACAATGGGCTATCACAAGCTCAGCATTCAGTAGCACAATTTAGTAGCACAAAGTTGTCTTTTACCCACCTGCGCAAGGTAGAAAATAAATGCAGGGGAGACTTCACTTTCTTCTCTGACAGCTTCTTATTGTGCAGGCAATTGGATTTTTCTTTGCTCTGTTTCCACTGCTGTGTAACAAATGTCTGCATGATTCTGTCAAGCAAAAGTAAGTTCGTTATCAGTTCCAAGGTAATTTAATATGAGATTTCTGTATTTATTATGTAGAGAACACATATATCAAAGTATTTAGTGAGATCCTAACTTAAAATCATACACTGTGTTTTTGTATATTGGAAAGCATCATACAGAAAATGTTTATGAATTTACTGTTATTCTTAATAAATTACTGACATAATTAAAATATAAATGATAGAATTGAAAGAAGAATAAGGATATTAAGAGATTTATAAAGATTATAAACAGACAGTCTTTAGATCAATGACTTTGGCTGAAGTGACCAAAAAAATCTGAAATATTTTGTTGGTTCCAGAAAGGCAGTTTGAAAAATTTCTGTTATTAATTATAATTTTATTTATTAAGTTATAAGCAAGTCAATTTCTTTTTACTTGATTTGCTTACGTATTTTTCTTCATGAAAAGGAAAACAAAATAAAATGCATATATACATGTAAAACTAAGCCAGGTGAAACTAACTCTATGGAGAAATATGAAGTCAACAAATTTTATCTTCAGCACAGCCCATTCACCTTTAAATAGGATTTTTAAAAAAATTTGAGTGTCTCTAAAAATTTTTAGTTACTCTCATAAGGCAGGAATTTGGTAATTCCTGATCTCAATATTTTCTAAGTCTATATCACCTCATCGTTTCATGGTAGAGAATTCTGGCATGTCAGCTGTGGACTTAAAGCATTGTTTTCTGAAAAGAGTTTCAAGCTGCAAAATTTTTTCTGCATCCCATCTTTCAGGTGTCGGGGAGGAGGGTCCCTTAAGGCTGATATTTAAGTAGGCGGGAACTTTTACAATTAAACATTATATGTGCAATAAATTAAATATTTTGATTTCCTTTCAAAAATCAAATCAACATTGCTTGTTTTTCACGTTCTTTTCAGTTATTTGTAGCACAGATTGCTTTTGGAACAAAAAGATGGTACCAATATTTGTTTACAATTTACAATATATCAGGGGATAAAATATTCTCTTTAATTCTCAAGACATCCCCAGAAAGTAGCTATTTATTATTGCACATGTTCACGAGGGAGGTAAGGCAACAAAATCTACCTATTAGCCTGGACAATGAAATGGCAGAGCAACTGCACCTGTATTATCACATACAGATTGACATGTTAGTTAACATGTTATTCGAAAGAGACAAGTGTGGGTCTTAGCACTAAGCCAATAATGATTTCTCAATATCCTTCAGGTCTTACCAAATTAACTCAGATCACCAGAAAGCATACTCCTCAGACTTACTACCTCAATCTTTTGCCTGCTAGTTTAGGTGAGTTCAGAAGAAATTCTCACATACGGGATTATTTTAAGTCTTTTTAGCTGGAGAGGTTGTGAAGAAGTAAAGGGTAAAACTGCAATCAATGATGCATAATTCCAATTAGTACTAAATTCACTTCAGAGCTCAGGACAGGGAAATAATTTTTATTTTACATTTGATTTTTGATGATTTTTTTTTCATCCAAGATTGTAGCAAGATTTAAACATAATAGTAATATTAGAGTCATCCTTTTCCCCTGTCCCTAACCTGAAATCCTCAGTGACACCACCCTTTGTACCAAGCAGATCAAGATTCTTTTCCTCCTATGAAAAATTGTTATTTCTGCATACCATTCCCTAAGAAAATCAGCATATGTTTGTCTAACCTTGAAAGTCAAAACGGCTAAAACTATTCCACTTTCATATACATTAAGCATTCTGAAGAGTGACTTCAACATTGAGAACCAGTAATTCCTAATTTCTAATTCCTAATTTCAATGCTAATTTTAAATATGCATAAGAGCACATTTGATATAACAGCCACCTCCTCAGAATAGAGAACCACCACCAGGAGAGTTCCACGCTCACACCGGTGCTTGCGCTTACTGCTGTGCTGGCACCAAGAAGGATTACTACAATTGCCATTGGCTGAGGAAAGGAGAAGAGAAAAAAGACTTCGAGGTAAATTATACATTCACATCAAGTGAAGACCAGACGACATCACAGTCAGCTATATGAACAAAGGCTCCAAGGTGGTTCGAATAGAGAAAAGGGAGCACAGATGGGCAACATTATGATTTTCTTCACGCTGATTTCAAAAGAACTATGCACTACAGCAGCCAGCGTTATATTCAAACTTTGGTGGAGAAACAGCATCGGCAGAATAACATCATCCACCAAATTAAATTCATGTATCACTTTGACATTCGAGTATTTTATTTTGATTTGAGCTTAAGTTGTATTTTGGATTTTGTTTTATAAATGCAAAGTCTACATAGGAGAATTTATACCTAATTTTATGTAAGGCAATACTGGAGATTTGCAATATTTTTTTCCCTTTTAAAAACAACTTAAGTTTGATCTATGCAAATTCAGCACACAGTTTAAGATTATATCCATGGTCTGTGATATACTTAGTCTTTGAATGACAGATACCCTCTATAACGCCGATCACTACCTTACATCTCTTTCAGGTCAGTATTTTTCCTCTGGCCTTTTTAAATGACTTTACATTCTCCCAATATTCATTCAGTGCTGAACATATATTCCAAAGCTTATACAAGGCAAAGAGAGATTGAGGGTTATATGAAAGGCAGATTAGTGGTTGGGCCAAAAGTATTGATCTGCAGTCAAATTCTGGCTCTACCACTTTCTCACTCTGTAACCTTAAGCAAGTTTCTTAATCTCCTGGGCCTCAGTTTCATCACTGAGGAAATGTGGATAGCACAGTACCTACTTCATAGGGTTGTTTTAACTATCAAGAAAGTTAATGTGCATAAAGTGCTTAGAATAGTGCTTGACATATAATAAGCACGGTGTAAGCATTTGCTGCTGCTGTCATTAAGACTGTTGTGTTGCCAGAAATAAAACAGATAAGAATCACAGAAAAAGTTTAATGTTTCTTATTTGCTGAAAACAAACCTGAGCAATAACAAAGGGCTTAGATTTTAAATTTGCCTTCTTAACTTGCTGTATGTTTCTGGAAAATAACCTCTTTATATTTCAGTTCCCTCTTATGATTTATTGTGAGGATGAGATCAGATTTTTAAAATCGTATCATTTTAGACTAAAGGGGGACCTTGAGGATTGCAGCCAAACCCAACTATTTCTAATTAAGAAAACATAAACATATATCTATAATTAGACTTAAATTTATCAAGGATCATTAAAAAAAGTTCAAGTCTTTATCACCACACTTTCCACATAACTAAAATTTAACCTTAGAAGTAAATAAATTTTCAAACATGTTAATTGTTTGGATGGAAATATTAATAAAATATGTTACATATTCTGTAAGATAGTTCAACAGTGAAGATAGTTCATAGCTTTCCTTAATTTCTCAAGGGTGGAATTGTACACATCATTGCTTTTATGAGTCCAAATGATAATCTCAGAAGCTATTAAGGGTAGGAAGCTATTTATTCCTAGACTTCTATGCTTTTATAATTATTGTCTTGTTTGAATCAGCCTCATTTTGCTTTAAAAAAAAGTTTTTAAGTGGCTTACAAAAATACATAAAGTAGAACTACGGATTTGGGGCGATAATGATGTGTCAGTGTAGGTTCATGTATTGTAAGAAATGCACACTCTGGTGGGTGATGTTGATAATAGGATGTATGAGAAGTCTCTGTACTGTCCTCTCAATTTTGCTGTGAACCTAAAATTGCTCTTAAAAAAAATAAAGTTATTAAATATAAAAATTTTAAAAAACTAGAGAGAAAGTTGGGTGATGGGAAAAAAATCATAAGAAGAAAAAAAAAAAGATGTGCCAAGGTGAGGTGGTACCCAACTTGGATGGCATAGCACAGAGGCAGGCTCCATGCTTAGCTCCAAGACTGATAAGACAGTGGCTCAATGCAGAAAACAAAATCTGATTGAAATAATAAAACCAACTGTACTGGAAAGGCATACCTAAATCCTTGCACAGAAAACTGAGAAAACATCTTTTATGAATTCTTATAAAGAATACACTGTATAATATAATCTGTTGTAAACATATTATATGTGCTAAACGTATGTTGTAAATTGAATTTAGTTACAGAAATATGGAATTCTAAGTATTAAGAGTTTTTACCTTATACCAATTTCAACCCAAGACTGGAGATTTGCAAGAGTTTTTTCTTTCAAATGCAATCTACACATGTCACATTTGAGCACTGCTACCTCGGTGTAAACTCATCGAGAGAATTCTAGGGCTCTGTGATATGTATAATCCTTGATACCACACAAGAAGCTTTCTACTACACTTATAACCTCAGGCAAAATGACCACAGTAAGTCCTCTATTTTGTAAATGAAATAAAAAAAGTTTCAAAGTATTGTCTCTTAGGGCATTGCTCAGTAAAGGCTAATGTATGATGTCCACTTAAATGTCATTAAAATAAAGGTGAACATGCAGACTGCATTATTATGATGGGCCCAAACCGTGTGTTTAAGTATACATTTATCTAATGATCTCTCTTAATAAATTTAAAATGAAGTAAAATTTGCATACTCAGAAGACTAAGTAATCCTGGGACACTTCCATAAGTACAAATTCATAAAGCTGATATGTTGATAATAGAATTTATTAGAGTTTCTGTTTTGACGGTGACTAATTGAGGTATGCTCCCATGTTTTAAAAGTCAGTTCAACTGCAGTACTTTCGTGTTTATAAAGGGTAAATTGGCTCAACGTATTAGTCAAGGTCAAACAAAAGTAAAGGGTTTCTTTACAAAAGGAAAGTTTCAAAGGCGTAGGTATGGGAAAAGGGGACAGTACAGTTAGTCCAGTGCCAGTGGCTGCCAAACTGTTACCACTTCTAGGCACCAAGGAACAAGCAGAGGAAACAGTTACTAGAACTCAGGCAGAGAGAGTCACACGAAGGCTTGGAGTAAGACAGAGAGGCTTGGTGAAGGATTAGTCACCTCATGGTGAACCCACAGGAAAGAATCAAAGACAATAAGTACCCCCATCATATGCAGCTTCCTCCTGCCAGACATATTAGAGACACAGGAACTTGTGTCTCCACAGGTTAGTGTTCTCGGGTGGCATGCAGGGTCCTGGAGGGAGGAGAGTGAATTCTGGGGGAGCGAAGGGAAGAAACCTGGCCCAATCCTGAAAGTGAGCTCTGCAAACTAAATTATTGATGCAGTATTTAGCATCAGAATGAATTCCTCTCCTGAGGTGCTCATTTCTAAAAGCTCTTATTGAATAAAAATGGAAGGAGAGGAGAAATGATGAGCAAAATGGGAACACAGTTCTCTTTAAGAGAAATTTATTCTATTCTT